GTCAGCACCGAGAAACCCTCTTATTTCATTCACTCAACAAATGCTTCTTGAATGACTGTTGGGCTCTAGACTCAGTGCCGAGCACATCACCTCCTTTGTCAAATATTATCTCCTTTAGTCTCCACTCTAACTGAGCAAACTTTTTCTGCTTTTTTTTTTTATCAGGGATAAACCTGATGCTGTAACTTGCCTGGGGTCGCCCAGGAATTGATGGTGATGCTGCAATTCTGGATGGTCTCCTTTGGCTTTTTATAATCTTTTGTTTCTTTCATTTTCTAAAAGCAGTTCTTAAATAGAATGTTTTGACTTCTCTAAAGTTTTAATTCTAAATGTTAGATATCCTTCAGTACAAAATATTCCTTAGGAAATTGTAAAAATTCAAGAATTCCACATATGATTTTTTAAATTAGAGCCTTAGAAGTATTCACATGAAATAAATTCAGAGTAAATATACAAAGTGCCTATTTTGCACCTGTCTCTATGATATTAATAAAAGAAATAATGGTATATTTTGTTAATAGTAATTCAAAACAAAAATGAGGATGTGGTATTGGAGAAAAGAAAATGGAGTTTGGAGTTAGCTGAGTCCAAATACTGCCCTTGTCATTTAATGACAAAGAGTGGCCCTGGGAAAAGGAGGAAAGAGATAACCTTTAACCTTTTTTAATTACTAACCATATGCCAGATGTTTTACCATTTTGTTTTTTTTAAAACTCTTACACTTAATTGTCATTATTTTTTTTAATATCACTTTTAATTGTTTAAAGTTCTATAGGTAACTATGACATCATACCTATTCAAGATGTGAAAATAAACGTTCCAAAGAGTTAAGTCATGTTCTTAGAGTCATGGAGCTGATATGTAGAGAGCTAGGATGTGACTATAGTCTGTCCAGATGATAAAGTCCACTCTGCTCCCTTCAAAGGTGCTTTGTGTGGAAATAAAACCACAGGATTCTTTCACACATACACACATACCCTGCTGTTTAAATAAAAAAAAAATTCAAGAAAGAACAAAGGGCAATTGTCTATGAGAAGAAATTGGGCAACAACCACAATGAATCCTTGAACATCAGTTCTCTCACTTTTTTCAGTTGACTTTTTATTGTGATTTGAGTTACAGTTTAGAGAGCAAATTAGTTTTTTATCCAGCAATTCATGTGCATTATGTTGTGTGTCATTCATTTTAAGCATCATATTGTAATAGCACTCTATCCACTTCCTCCTTGCATTTCCATTTCCATTAGTTCTTCTTCCCTAGCCCTTCCTGCCTTCTGAGCTTGGTCCCTGGGTACATATTGTCCTTTAGGTCCAGTATGGTTCATTATCCCAAGAAGTTAGTTTATCCCCAGTATTACTGATCATCTTTTGGGCCTGCATGTTGTTTGATTAAAGCTGAATCACAAGAATGATTTAAATTTCAGGCGTGAAAAAGTCTATAGTATCAGGGATCCAACCAGTCTTCATCATATAAGTTTGATCTTTTTTATTATTTTTTTTGTTTTTTTCACATTTTATCAGAGACCTTGCTTCAGTTGTGTACCTTTTTAGAGTCAGCAGCATAACTGCTGGACACCATCTAGTTCTTCTGGTTTTAAGGTTGTAGAGACTGAAATTCACATAGTCCATTGGTCCTTTAGATAAATAGACTTTGAATTCCTTCATTTTTTCTTGCTTCAAGTAGAGAGAGACCAGTAGTTGCAACTTAGATGGACATTCACAAGTTTTTAACACCCTAGGTGCTACTCATTTAAGTAGGAAGTAGAACACTGTCCTTGTGTGCTAAATTATGCTAATTGATCTTGATGCTGTGACTATGGTCCAAATATTAGTTTATTATAATACTTTATTATAATTCATACCTTTCCACCATTGACTTTGGAACTCACAAGAAAGAGGCCCTGGTCTTCACAATTATATTGCAGAAACCAAAAAAGTTTCCATTTGCAAGTGTTAAAAAATATTTACAAAGTATTAATATTAACTATTTAGATATTAACTTGAGTACATAATTTGAGAAGCTTAACTGTGTGAAGAAGAATGTGGAAATAGGATTGGAGGAAGGGAGACTCATCAATAACTTGTGTTATACAGAAGGCATAACCTTGCTTTCTGAAAGTGAGGAGGTCTTGAAGAACCTACAAGACTACATGGGTACATTTTAGCACCACGAAAACAGAAGTCCTCACCACTGGACTGATGAGGAATATCATGATAGATGGAGAAAAAAAATTGAAGTTGCTTATCAACAATTTCACTATACTTGAATCTACAATCAACATCCATGGTAACAGTAGTCCAAAATATCAAAAGATGAGTTTCATTAAAATAATCTACTCTCAAGGATCTTTCCAGTGTGCAAAAGAGCATTGATGCCAGTTTAAATTCTAAGGTACATCTGATCCAAGCCATGGTATTTTCACTTGCTTCCTATGCATCTGAAAGTTAGAGAATAAAGAAGACCAAGGAAGAATCCATGTCTTTGAATTATGTTAACAAAGAGTACTGAATGGACTACCAAAAGACCAAATAAACCTATCTTGGAGAAAGTGCAATCATGGTGTTCCCTAGCAACATGAATGGTGAAACTTCATCTCACATAGTTTGAACAAGCTGTCAGGAGAGGCCAGTCCTTGGGGGGCTGGGGGGAGGCGGGGAATCATTCTGGGAAAGGTTGAAGGTCAGAGAAAAAGATAAGATGGATTAACATAGTGATTGTAACAATGGGCTTGAACATGTCAGAGAGCCTTACTATCTCTGACATGCCTGAGACAGGGCAAAGTAATGGCAAGGTTCTGATCTGTTTGTCATAGGCTTGTTATGAGTAGTAGTGTACTTGATGGCACATAACAAGTGTAACTGTTGAGGCATTGATGACTTTCTATGGGAGACCCAAATAACATTCTCTGCCAGTGCACCTCAAGTAGTCATTCATTGCCTATTGGTATTGAGGCTTATGTATTGCTATGATGCTGAAAAGATTTCAGCTGAGCTTCTAGACTAAGATCCTAAAGAAAGACCCAGTAATTGACTTCCAAATATTAGCCAGTGAAAGCCCTATGTCATGATGGTCAGGTCTACAATCACAGAGATTATATAGGACTGGCTGGCTGTGTTTGCTCTGCTGTGCATGGGGTCTCCCTGAAGGGAAAATGCAACTAATACAGCAAGTGCAGCTGAGGGAAGTTAAGTATACATTTCAAAAGAGACTCAAATACGAAATACACAATTTCTGAACAAGAGGAACCCCTTTAAAAAAAGTAAACTGTCTGAAAGAGATTTATATAAACATTCAAAAAGAAGCAGAGTCACAGTATATAGGGAGAATGAGGATGATATAAAATTGAATATTTGTAAAGGATTCCAGATGTTTAAGCAACACAAATATTAAAAACTCTTTTGGTTGGTTTTTTTTTTAAACTAAATATGTCATTTTAAGTATTAACTTGCTTTCACTTTACTAAAATGGATGTGGTGCGAATTATGTGCTAACACATTATAATTAGTTCATTATACTAGTTCATTGCCTTGCACATAAGGATTCTTCATAAACGGTAGGATTAGTTAGTATCATTGTCATTACTTAGGGTCTAAATTGTGAGAGTACGAAGGACTCAGCAGGATCAAGGATGATTGAATTTTTTTTGTGTGGGCAAATAGGTTATTGAAGTCATTTACAGACTTCAAGGAGCCAGGAAGAAGAACTGTGTTTGCCCCTGGCTACTTTCCATTGTATTTTCAAATTCAGGTCATTCATTTTAACCAGAGCTGCCCATTGCCCTCAGCTAGACTTTTCACAAGTATTATGTGGCTTATGGTTGAATCTTAAAAAGTATTGATGGGCATGACACTTCAGGCATAACTGCTGGGCCTGAAAGTGTTTTCCTTTCCGTCACACTTTTTATCTTCCTGGTAGACTCCTGTCTGTGTCCGTTCCAGCTGGCTACTAGCTTATAAAAGTTCCAGGTGTGTGAGGAAAATGTTGTTAATAGTACTCAAAAGGAGATCTTGTTAACTAAGTGGGTCAAGAACTTTAGAATCTACTTACCACTTCCCTTCTTTGCTAGGACTTCTTCCTAAGACACTTTTTTCCTTGACTTTTTATATAAGCTCAAGCGATCACATGAAATTGTCCCTGTTATCTCTAACCTGCCCTACAGAAAAGGAAAATTTAGGCAATTTGATTTTTTAAATCATAATGATAAACTGATTAGAAGGAAAAAGACAAGGCTTCTGACCAAGACACTACACTCAAGTCCGTTCTGACTCTTAACTGCCCTAAAGTGCAGAGTAGGACCGCACAAGCCTATGTTTTTTAGAAGCAGACTGCCACGTTATCCTTCTATGATGCAGCTACTGGGTTCAAACTACTGACATTTCAGTTAGTGACTAGTGCTTTAATCCCTGTGCTGCCAAACTCCTCATGTATAAAAAGGAACCTCTGCTTATATTCTTTGTTAGTTATATGAGAAATAGAAGGAACCAATTTCAGGAAACAATCTGAGTTAATTCCAGAAGCTTCATTTACTGCAGTAAACTTGGACAAAGACTTTGCCTGATACTCCAGGAATGAAAGATCTCATATGGCCAGTGAAATTTGATATTCTGCAGCTAGATTTTAATTTTAAGTTAGCCTGGGACCCTGGGAATTACACCAATTAGGGAGATAAGCCCTGCTTATCAAAACATTATGCCTTCTCTCAATTTGCATTAGAGGAAAGGAGTTCTCTCCTCGTAGAAGCTGACAGGAGGACATTGGTGGGGTTAGTCTTTTGGTGTAGGCTTAGGAAATGTGGCCAAGCTTATGGAGAAAATAATTCAGCTTCAGATCTTTATGTTGGGTACTCCAGGATGCACCTATGACCTATAGAATGAAGGCAGGAATGTCTAAGGCTTCAATTCAGTACTTTCTTGCCTCTGTGTCCACATTTTTATTAGGTGACCCTGCTGTGTTTTATATCTGATTGGAATCATTGTTGAAATTTATTCTGTGCTTCCTAGGAACTAGCCAGCTGTGGATGGAGTAAGAAGGAGAAACATAGTCTTGCCCCCAACGTTGTGGCCTTTACCCGGAGATTTAACCAGGTAAGTACAACCGCTTGCATGTACCTGTCCAGATAACAGTCTGTTTGTTGTCTGTTAGGAGGCCCACCAAGGGTCCATCTTATGCATCTCTCCTAAAGTTCAAATCCTTTTCCCTGAACCACCAGGCTTTTATCCACCCTTGTACTGTCTACACAGTGGGCAGAGTGGAATAAGCCTTTCCTCTATTTAAATCAATTTAGTAACTTCAAATTGTACTTAAGCGAAAGTTTATATGCTCCACAAGGTTTCTGTAAAGTGGAGCTGGTTTCTACCTATTCCTCAGCCTTAGCTTTTGTCTCTTGCCCTCCTCCTGAGGATGTCAGCCATCCTGGTTTCTCTTTTATTTCATGATGTCAGTCTGATCAGGTTCCCATATGTACTCCACTTTCATCTTGAACACTCTTCTATGTTCAGTTCTGAGTTAGATTGAAGCCAATTGCCACTTCCTTTGAGAAGCCTTTCCTGAATCCCCAGCCTTTATGAGATCTCATCATCATACACATTCTCATTTCACCCTGACGTTCTCCACTGTTGTCCTTTACTCATCTGTCCTGATTTTATGCAAGTCTTTAACATCCACCTTCCTTGCCAGTCTGAGCTTCATAAGGGCAGAAACTATGTCCAGTATATTTATTACTGCCTTATCCAGTGTCAGGCATATAATAGACTTTTGGCCGATATATATGGAAACAAAGAGGTGCTAAATTAGCAACACTTCTTGAAATGACTTTCTTTCAATTAATGATGCCTTGGTCACTGGACCCATACTATTACAGATAGACTCAGTCCAACCAGAACCTTTGCTCTAGGTATAAAGATCTGCATTCCTACATATTGGGATGATGACTGGGGTCTTAGAGCATTTGAGGAGAATAGGCTTCCGACTTTTCAGCCACATCCTTCAGAACATGACCTTTGTAAATACATGCTTGGTAGATAGACTCCTTTAGATAGACCAAAACCCCTGAATGGTGCTACCTACAACTTTTCACCTTTATTCTTATCTTTCTGGTTTCAAATAAGGCCAGTGCTCTAGAGCCAGTACTGTATGTATAACTTGACCTGAGTGATGAAGTCAAAGTTCCCAGTGGGCCTTCCATAAGAAATATCTTCTCTTTGTGACATATTATTACTCAACCCTCTGCAGGTTTCTCTAGTCTTGAGCTACCACCCCATGTAGAGTGGGAACCCAGGAGAGACTCTAGCTTGTACTTTTTAGATCAAAGCTAAAAATTATTGTTATTGTTATATTATGAGATGTAATAGGAACTCTGAAAGACCTACATGCTTCAGGGGTAGACACTATATACCATTTGTTCTGAAAAGAGAAGTTGTGAAGCCTTTTCTTCTTGTTTTGTTTTGTTGTTTTTTTTTAAATCTTTTCCTTTTCAATTGGCCTTAGTGTTTTCTTGTTGTTTTTTTAAATAAAAAAGAGATGTGCACAATCCCAGATGTGCACAATCTCTCGGGATTCATAGTTTCCTTACCAAAACTATTTGGCTGAGAACCAGCTCAGTCTTCACCTCTGACCAACACAGAACTCCTGAAGGAGAGACTGTGGACCCTCTGATGTAATCTGCTTTGCACACTTACTCCCTCAGCTTGGCAGATGGTAGTATAGCTTTTTCTGTGAACAATCGCATTGTGTCTAGCCCAGACCAAGTATGTTTAAGGAGCCAGAAGTGAAATTGTATGTTCCCACACAGAGTACTCTGGGAAATAGTCTTCCTTCCATCATGTGATTCCTGTACACAACCAGTAACTCTTGATTTGAAAACTGGTCAGAAACCAGGCCTGGTCAGCCATTAGAGCTACTTTGTCCGAGATAAAGTCATTGGCATATCTTTCTCATTGGCAGCACTTTTATATGAGAACAAAGCTCCTTATCAGACTTCAGATAAAGAAAAACAGGCCACTTACTTCTCTGAGTCTCAATTTCATTATTTATTAATGAGAGTCACAATGATGCTCACTTTGCACAGTTGTCATGAAGATTAACTCAACTCAGTGTCTTGGAGTTGGAACCAATGCGTCTGGAGTTTCCATTGGGTTTCTGAGGCTGTCAATCACATGCTAGGAGATGCTCATCTTTCTCCTTTGTGTAGATTCAAACTGCCAGAGTTAGTAGCACAACAGCCTGTGGAGCTTGCTCACTTCACTATAGGGCATGAATTCCTGGGGATCTGTTCACAGAGTGATAAGAGAGAGAAGAGTTCAGTTAAGTTCAAAAACAGTCTATTAAGGGAGCTTTGGTGGGCTAGTGGTAAGAAGCTGCACTGCAATCCCAGAAGTACATGGTTCGAATCCACCAGATGCTCTGCTGGAGAAGGAAGGGCAGTCTCCTCCTGTACCAGTCAGATCTGATTTGACGGTACACACAAATAATAATATTTTTTTAAACCCAGTTTGTTATGTACCAGACCATGTGTTCATCATATAACACAGTTTTCAATCTTTTTTTTCAATACAGGGCCTTCGAGAATATGATGATATCTTAAATATACTTGCTCCCAGAAAAATGCACAGCTAGATAATTTTAATTTAATTTGAGGAAGCCAACAGCCAACCCCCTATATTTTGCACATGACCACTTAGGGGTCATTATACAGTAGGCCAAAAGTGGTCTCAAAAAAAAACCCAAACATAGATTTGCGTCTACGTTTTACAACTTATTAGCTGTGTAGTCTTGCATTGTCTTATGTCCTGTCTGAACCTCACTTCTCATTAATAAAAGAAAACAATAATCACAAGTGGTCTTGACTATAAGTGTCTCTTAAGAATATAAATGCATAAATATGCAACAAAATACTGACAAACTGAAACCATTGCTATATTTAAAGGGTCAATTGAGAATTATTTCAGGAATACAAGGGTGATATAATGTTAGAACACCAGTGACTGTAATATACCACATTAATAAAATGAAAGAATAGAACAATATATTCATCTCAGTTGACGTAGAAAAGACATTTGCAAGAGAAATCCAGCACCCTTTTATGATAAAAATACTCAACAAACTAGAAATAAAAGGGAAATTTCTCAATAAAAGGCATTTATGAAAAACTTAACATCAAACAAATTCAATGATGAAAAATGGAAAGCTGTAAGATCAGAAAGAAGACAAGTATGTCCAATTTTACCACTACTGTTTACTAGTAGAGAGCTCTGGTGGCTTAGTGGTAAGGAGTTGTGCTGCTATCCCAAAGGCACATTTTGAATCGACCAGCCACTTTATGGGAGAAGGATGGTAAGTTTCCTCCTGTTTGATTTATTGTCTCTGTAAGCTCACTGAAGGGTCAGCTTTGAGTTAGTTCCTACTCCCAAGATGTTGTTGTTGTTGTTGTTATGTGCCGTCGAGTCGTTTGCGACTCATAGCGACACTATGTACAACAGCCCTAAACCCTCCTCTATCCTGTGCCAATCGCATTGCCTCTGATACACCCATCCCGATTACCCCAGTCACTGAATCAATCCACCTCATAGAGGGTCTTCCCCTCCTGCACTGTCCCTCTACTCTACCTAGCATGATGTCCCTCTCTAAAGACCTGTCTCTCCTTACAACATGTCCAAAGTATGTCAGACAAAGCCCCAGAATCCTTGCCTCCAAGGAGTAGCCTAGTTTAACCCTCTCTAGGATGAATCTGTTTGTTTTCTTGGCAGTCCATGGTACATTCAATACTCTTCTCCAGCACCACAGCTCAAAGGCATCAATTCTCCTTCTATCCTCCCTAGTCATTGTCCAACTCTCTGATGCATAACAAGTGATTGCAAAAGCCATGGCCTGTATCAGGTGGACCTTAGTCTCCAGAGAGACACCGTTGCTCTTGAGTACTTTAAAGAGGTCCCTAACAGCAGACTTTCCCATCGCAATACGTTTTTTTATTTCCTGGCTGCTGGTGCCAAGAGTGTTGACTGTGGAGCCGAGCAAGATATATATATATAACAATAATTTACCACTACTTCCTAAACAACATGGCTCTGGAAACTCTATGAATTTTGATTAATGCCAATAGTTGTAGAGGGGCTACAGGCCTTTTATTCATAGGGTTGCTATTAGTCGTGCTCAACTCGAAGGCAATCAACAGCAACAGCACTGTTGGAACTCCTAGCCAGAGCAGTTAGATGATGTTGTTGTTAAGTGCTGTCAAGTCAAGCACAATTCATAGAAACCATATGAATGAAAGACCTGAACCCTATTCTTTAACGATTGTCTTTTCTCTAAGTTCATAGAGTTTCCTGAGGCATATTGTTTAGGAAGTGGATTCCACCCCTGCTTACAAGCCTATCTTAACCTGGGAGCTCCACCAAACTTTGTTCACCATGGGTATCCATTATGACACTTGACACACCAGTAGCACAGCATTCAATATCATAGCAAATCCAAGTTACCTCAGTAAAGCGAATTGACCAGTGCTGTACCACTTCAAAGAATGTTCATTCAAAGCACAATTAACACAAGACCATGCACCAGGGCCCTGATCGGCTCTAAATAAGAAGCTTCCAGCCACAGCTCATTATGAGCCAAATCCAGCAAATCCAATCAACTCACACATGGTTATGAACAAAATAAAAACAAGCAAACAGTCCACACCCGACCCTAACCAAAACAAGAAGAACTCACCTTTCAGAATCCAATGGCTACACACATGAGCCTCTAAACTGAAGACTCAGTCGAGACTCAGCCAACTTTAAATACCCAGGCCCATGCACCATCCCCTGATTGGCTCTAAACAAGAAGCTGCCAGCCACAGATCATTACTGGCCAAATCCAGCAAATCTAGTCGGCTTACACATGGTTGTGAATGAAATAAAAACAAGAAATGGTATACATAGGACCTTTAACCAAAACAAGAAGGACCCACCTTTCAGAATCCAAGGGCTTCCCACATGAGCCTCCAAGCTGAAGATTCACCTGACTCTTAAATACTCAGGCCCAGAAAGGCACAATCTGAAAATTGATGAATGGGACCTTCTAAAGATTAAATCCCTTTGCACATCAA